AAGAATGATATGCCCGTCATACAGAGTATTTAATTTTATATATGTTTGGATCATATTTTGTTAGTTTCATCCTTAAGCAAAATGTTTGGAACATGCAAACCCCCATCAAAATTTAATGAAATAAAAGTTAGGCTAAGACACAACTCAGGTAAACGTATTATGGCTCCCATCGTAGAGGAATCATAGATTTATTACATGTTCTACATAGTTTTGCAAATTTTTCCTGTGCTTCTTGTAAAAGTGACAGATATAAAAAAAAGAAATCACTTTTTATGGTGTTCTAAAAGTTGTCTACAGAAAATATTCACAATGCAAAACGTCATTTTTTAAATCTTAGAGAATTTTTGAAAAATGGTCAATGTAAGCCATGAAAAATCACAAATCAGTGTGATCCTTATAAGTAAGGATTGAAATATTTCCCTTCCATTTCGCTCAACGGTTGGTACATCACAGCATGGGGAAAATTTGAATTGATTTGAAATTGGTAGTTACCATTGTGAAGACCAATTCAATACGAATGTTACCTAAATGTCAGATTTCTGAACTTAGGATGCATAAGCGAGATAAAGATTATTTCATATTGAAGATGATAGTACTCAATAATACCTGCTCTGAAATAAAAACTATATGGAATTTTGAGCTCAGTTATATGCGTAGTCTTCATCTGGCGTTCAAAAACCTATCGCATCCGTTTCGTGCGTTCCCGGTAAAAATGAATATGTTTAGACATTACCGTAAGTCTTAGGTACCATAAATTGGCAAATATCCCACAACACCTAGGCGTCTGCATGATTTTATGCACTTCTTAGTAAAGATAATGGGTGCAAATGGGTAATCATAAACTCTACACTTGTTCTCCTTTGCAATCTGTTAATATTGACAATTATCAAAGAAAATGGTATGAGAGGGATAACTAATATATTTTATTATTTAGATATGAAAGTCAATGTAGGCCTACTAAATGATGATGATTAATCTTTTTAACTTTATGTGCGTGCGTTCACGTACATGTGATCCTCCTCAAAAATTATAAACACCCATGACCATCTCCCCCCCCCCCCATGTGAGGCATGGGAAATATTCAACGACTTTCGTAAGTTCTCGAATTCAATGTACTAAATTCATATGCTTTTAAAATTCTCAAAATTGAACCACTACATTGTCTTCATGCCAGGACTTTATAATTAGAATGATTTTGTACTAATGTTGCCATCCACAGTTCCCACATTTCTTCAAAAAAAAAAAATAATAAAAAATAAATATAAAAATAATAATAAAATAAAAAAAAAAAAAAAAAAAAAAAAAAAAAAAAAAAAAAAAAAAAAATTATATATATATATATATATATATATATAATATAAAAATAAGGCTTTTATCTGGTTTAGATTAGTTGTCTCTATGGTAAAATGCATTTATTAAACTTTTCAGACAAAAAAATCTACTTTTATGAACGAACAAAAAAAAATTACATACCTTTACAGAATAACGTCCCTATTGAAAATGAAAATTCCTATTGACTTGGTAATCATTGCATTGCTATGTACACTAAATAAGCATTTTTTTTATATATAATATCATTAGATTCAGAAAAAAATAAGAGATAACAAACTTTGGCAAGGTGCCAAATACAATACGCCGTAGCTCCGTTATTTTTTGTTGGCAATAAGTTAAGTTAAGGAGGTAGTGCAATTAAGGGGGCTGTCACACCCGAGAACGAACTTCGTTAATCATGATCATATTTTTGCAATTTTTTTATATGTTATATATACATATACTACGATATACACCAACAAGTTTCGTACTATTTGGATATTAAACAATGAAGTTACTATAAAAAAAAATAAAAATAAAAAAAAGTGGAAAATTTTTTAAAATAATAAATCTCACTTATCCATTGACCGAACTTGTTTAAAAAATTACCACATATAGTCTATAGCAATACCTAAAATAGACACAATTTGATTTTGACATTTCCTCTTCGTTTAGTGTAAAAAAAAAAAAATAAATAAAAAAAATAAATAAATAAAAAAAAATTGAAATGTTCATTGATACGTATATAAATTATGATAAATGGACTTTCATCCCCTGAAATGAAAAACAAATCGTCGAGAAAATCGCAAATTCATTCACTTTCAAATGATCCAAACCCCATTAAAATCACCCACATAGTTGTGGAGAAACAACAACGAATGTCGACAAAGGTGTAGTTTTGAGATATCGGGCTTTGAAGTTGAGGATACTTTTCCCCATATTTATATTTTATTTTATTTATTTATTTTTTTTTTAGTTTTTTTATTTTTTTATTTATTTATTTATCTTTTTTTTTTTAGAATTCTGATCTCTGCGTCAATCTTGATGCATTCTGTGGTATTCACATGGTATTCTGAGGTGTAGCTGGTACCTGGTTGCAAGGTACCAATGGCAATAACTGCACATGATTGTAGAAGTACCCTGTGGCATCACAGGCTTTGCAGTGCCTTGTGAGGCTGTCATCATGCTT